TTAAGAGTCTATAGAGCTAAACATTATACTATGGATAACTTTCCACAGCTATCCCCTCCCTCTAATTCTACCTGGGGATATAAAAGTGTATTCTGGGGAGTTAGGCTTCTCCAACACAATACCAAATGGAAGGTTATCTCTAGTAGAGATATTCCGATTGCAGGTAACTGGATTCCAGGACACACTAATCCAATCTAATGTACTTCCTTCTTAGCTCAACAGTCCAACCTCATGGTTAATGATCTGATCCGCACTGATGAACAGTGGAAACTTCCATTCCTACGCACTATATTTCCTGATCAATATATCCCCTACATAACAGGTATCTATGTGGATCCTACAAGGAGATCGCAGAAAGATGTATTGATATGGAGCAAAAAACTGATCATGGTGCATATACTGTGCAATCTGGTTATCATGAAGCCCTGAATTCTACTCCTTCAATCTCTATTCCTGCTCAACCAAATCAGACCATCTCACAGGCGAGAAACCTGGCTTGGAAAAAGCTCTAGAACTCTAGAGTATGATCTAAGCATAAATTTGTATTTTGGAGGGCTGCTGTTAATGTATTACCATCAAAACAAGGACTCAACAGAAGGGGATTACAAGTGGATACCACATGTCCAAGGTGTTTCACAGGTTTGGAGGATAACCTTCACCTATTCTTACATGCCCAATTTCTCAAGCAATTTAGAGGTTTGCATACCCCAAATTTCAGTCCATCCTTGGTGGTCAAGTACATTCCATCTTACAGTAGTTCTCTGACTGGATACAGTCCCATCCTTCTTCTAATGATTTGGATTTATTCCTCTTAATCTTCTGGCGTATTTCGATTGAGAGAAATAATAAAGTATAGAGAAACCAAGCTGTAGATCTTGTGAACTCATGGTGACTGATAAGGAAAGAAAACTCACAGTCATCTACTTCTCATGCAGGCATACAGGGTTCTGTGTATCCCAAACTGTAGCACAGAAATCATTTTTAATGCTTCATCCAATCCACATACCAGGAAAGCTGCAGGTGCCTGGAAGATTACTTCGCATACGGGAATGCTAATGCAGATCAAATCTATCTCCCTAAATGCCCTTACACTGCTTCAAGAGGAGGCTATGACGTGTCTGACTGCATTACAGGACGCCTCAATTCTGGGAATCGACAGGGTCAAGATTTACACGGATTGTGAGACATTGACCTCTGATCAACCAATTTCTTTGTTTCCTACAGAAGCATAAGACGTAATTACTAATATTCGTCGGTTAAAGTCTAGTTTTCAAAACTGCCTGATTAAAGTCAGTAGGAATGAAGTACGGGATGTACACAACTTAGCATATACTAAAATGAGATGTAATAGCATAGGTACTTAATCGTAATACAGGTACCCTTTCAAAAAAAAAAAAAAAACCAACATGGCCTTTAGAAACAAAACCTAGATAACACTTCAATGATCAAAGTCAGCAGCAACAGATGTAAATAACCCAACGAAAAATCTTTTTCTATTCTATGTCGGCTAGTATAGTTTATACTTTCTTCTTTTTTTTTTGAGGTAAAAAGAAAGTATTTTCATTCACGTATGTTGGAAATCGTCCAACTGCGTTTAATTAAAGGTTGATGGAATATGCAACCAAGTATTACATATTTACATTCGACCCTATCATTCTTGGCTAATTCACAATTTTAGCGTATATGTTTGTTTCCAATTCTATTTTTTTCCCTTATAAACTCTGAATGTATTTTTTCCGCTTGATACGTGTATGTTTTAAAAATAATTAGGAAAAGAAATGATGGCGAGTATACAATTTTTGGTTAAATAAAGGAGCATGAAAATTTAAAATGTACGCGTCTAATATTATACGTGTAAATAATCTATAGTATTATACTAAGAGAGAAACCAGAGAGAGGGAATCAAATTTCTTCCCACTTTGACACATAGGACAAAATCCTATGTGTCAGTTTTCAATTGGTTGCAACAAAAACTATTTTCAACAATTACATCAAATGTCCTCTAAATTTTCAGTTATTCATTCGTTACCATTTTGAAATTAATTGAATATATGAACCATTAATTAATAAACCCACTAAATCAGCAAAAACCATAATCAACAAAAACTTTCTATTTCGTAATTGTGAGATGAAATAAAAACGGAAAATCTTCAAATTTTCTATTATGTGTCACCCAAAAAAAGTAAGAATTAATTTTATTCATTATACTATAAATGCTAATTATTAACAATACTATTTCAAATTTTAAAATAATTAAATGTGCCGCATAATTAGGAAAAGATGAAGGGAGTCATGGTTAATTTTGGATTTCATTCAATCAAATATAATTAATACATACCAATCTTCTTTCTTGAAATATATATACATACACATATTTGTATTTCTACTCCATCCCAAAACTCTCAAACAATCCCAATCTGTATTCATTTTTTATTCGCTAAGCCTGATTTCATTGTCTATATTGGGGTCTGACAAATATTTGATTGGATCTTTTGCAGTTTTTTTGGTGATTGTGAATGAGAGTCAAAAGAAAATGTATTCATATTGCGAACCAAAAAGAAGAACCTCAGAAAGAAAGCTTAACGTTATCAAATGCTTTGAAGGGTGGTTGGTTTCTCCTAAGGGACAATTTAAATAGGTCATCGGTTTCACGAAGAGGGGCAACCACATTCAAGAAAATTTCATATCTCTCTGTGAAGCCTCGCTTTTTTGTGAAGTTCTGAGTACACCTTTTGCAGGTTATATTGCCAAATCAAGTAACTAGCGCCAATTATTAGCATTAGTACGAAACAAGTTTGTTTGTTTATTTTAATGAATTCTCTCTATGATGAATGCATTTGTATTTCTCATTTAAAAAATTAGTTTATTACTATTTAATATTTTGTTGATTAAAATCTTGATTTGATGGGTATGTATAATTTACATTCATCATGAAATTAAAATGCTATTTTTTTAAGTGATGATACAATAACAAATGTTGTAATGATTATTTTCTTTATAACGTGTTGATAAATTAAATTTTTTGGTGATTTAATGCAGACAAGAGCCACCAGTTTATAGTATTTTATTCTTTCAATCTAAAAAAATAGTTTATGTTGAGTTTTATAAATCTCAAAAAATGGCCAAGGTATGCTTCTATCTCTTCTTCTTGGTTTTTTTTTTTCCTATAAAACATTTACATTAATGACTTTTGGAGGTAGTCCGTACAATGCTTAACCTTAATCCACAGCATGAATCTCTCTTCTTCTCAATGTAGCAAGCAGTATCACATCTCTCAATTTATAAGTCTCTATTTCAGAGTCTTTCAATTTATGAATATAATTCCGCATAAAAAACCCTATCTTGCACGACCCATCTACTGTGGCGTTGGTCATCAAATCCTTGAAAGATCCTGAAGGGACTGTTTGAAGACCAAAACATGAAGCACTTCAGGAGTACTTCAATCGATGATTATATGATGTAGTTGAGATTATTCATGATGAATCACATATGTATTTACACTACATAAATACACCAATCGATGATAAAGCGTAAATTCTTATATCCCGCACATCGTGCGGGTAACATCTAGTAATACTTATAATGTCTTGTTCTATTATCTCCATCCCCACTAGATCTAATTTCTCAGCTTTTTTTTTTCTAAATATATTTAATTCTACAAGAAAAATATTTTCTTACTAGGATGATTCTGACGTAGCATTTGTCATGCATCCAATGGTGTGTTGCCACATATTAATTTTTGTTAAAAAGGATTGTTATAACATATTTATCATAGGTAAAGCCTTTTAAATAACCCTCGTATTATGATACATAAAAATTCTAACGCCAAATCCCTTACAATCTATTTTGAGCACCAATCTCTTTAAAATTGTTTCCATTTATCTTTAAATGATTGAACTTCGAGGGTGTTTATATTATAGTAAAATAATAGTTTCAAATATTTTCCCTTTTCTAAATGCAATTACACGAATACTTATTGACATTACTAATTGATTAGTAGAATTATATAAAAAGTTTCAATTGATAGACATAAATATCATCACAGCTAATAAAATAAAAATTGTAGTTGAAAATAAAGTATAATTCTATAATTATTATGACTTATTAATTTTATTTCCCACGTGGCAAGGTTTTATTGGATGGGTGACAAATATGTACACTCTAAATTTTCCAACAAATGTATATACTCCCTCTTATTAACTTCTTCTTCTTTTTTTTTCATATTCTTAGTTAATTTTAGCGGTAAAAACTAACTTTAGAGGTAATAAAATTGACATTTTTCTTAAAGTAGAAAAAGAAGAGAAGAAGAAGAAGAAAGGTGAGTAAATTTGAGAGAGGTTGCGTCACAAAAAATCTAACCATCACAGTAAAAAAAAATAAAAATTTAAAAAAAAGAAGAGAGACTGGAAACTAGAAGAAATAAAGAACAATAAAAATAAGAAATCCCTAAAACACAAAAACAAAAATTAAAATCCATCATTATTACAACAGTGCTAAATTGTCATCGTTAGCCTGTTTATTGTTCGGTTCGAATCAAGGATTTGTCTTCTCTTCTTCCTCCTCTTCCTCTTTATTATACAGTATTTTCTCTTAATTTTCGATTTTTTTGTTTCGCTTTCTGAGTTTGAATTAATTTGGAAAAGTTTAATGTACGAGCGACTTGGCAATTGGTTTTGGAGCTCGATCTGTATACAAGTAATTCGTGCACGGTTTTGCATGAATTGGCATTCGTTTTTGGCGAATTGAGTTGGAGCAATTTATCCGGTGAGTTTTGGTTTCGTAATTCCCTCTTTTGATTTTGGAAACCCTAGATCTTCCTTAATTTTGATCGATTATTGGTCGGTGGTGTTGTTGTTTGATCGAACGGTTTGAGGTGATTGGATCTGGGTAGGTAGTAGCTGGGATTATTGGGGTTCTGATTTAGGTGGTTGTGAATTTTTTTTGGGGATCTTTTTTTCTTTATTTCGTCCAGGGAAAGATTTGATCGAGGGTTTGAGTTGATGGCTTCGAGTCCTCCATTCCTACTGGAGGATCAGACTGATGAGGATTTCTTTGATAAATTGGTCGATGACGATGACGACGACGTTGGTCTCAATAAGGTTACTGCCACTTCATCCGCCCCCGTCTTCACTGACGGGGATGAATCTGATGAGATTAAGGCTTTTGCAAATTTGAGTATCAATGAGACAGATGATAGCGAGTTGAATGATACTGACAAAATGGTCGAGGGTGCGGATGATTCAGGTATCAAAGTTGGGAGTGAGCCAAATGGAGAGGTAAAAGAGGTTGATGGCAATGGTGGAGGGTTCGCTATGGTGGAGCAAGCTGTTGTGCATGGCAGTAATGGTGCTTTGCAGCCCGCAACGTCATTTGATTTTGGTACTTTAGAGTCATCAAACTCATTTGACTTTGCTAGTGCTCTTGAGGGTAATCAAGAGACTGTTGGCACTGATGTTTTTTCTAATGGCAATTTGAGTGAGAGTGATCACACTGGAGCAAATGGTATCAAGCAGGTGCAGTGGAGTGCCTTCAGTACTAGTGGGGAACAGATGGATAATTCCGGGTTTGGATCCTATTCAGATTTTTTTTCTGATTTGGGTGAGAATGCTGACCAATCAAGCGGCAATGTGGCTAATGATATTGGTTATGAGGCAACAACTGTTTCTGGAAATGAATTGCCTGATTCCAATTACTCGCAAAGATATGGGAGCAATCATGATGGTGCTAACTCTGGCACTGATAGTCAGCAGACTGCTGGGATTCAGGATCCGAATAGCATCGAATACCTGGAGAGTCTTTATCCTGGCTGGAAAATCGATCGATCTACTGGTCAGTGGTATAGTGTTGATGACTATAATGCGGGTGCAAATGTTCAAGCCGCTGCTGATGCTAGTTTATCTGGTGATTGGGCTACTTCTGATGGAAAGACTGATGTTTCTTACCTTCAGAACAGTGTTCAGTCTGTTGCTGGGACAGTGAATGCTGGTGATACTACTGGCAGTGTAACTAACTGGAATCAGGCACCGCATGTGAATGATACTTCTGATTGGAATCAGGTGCCACAAGGGAATGAAACAGGTGCCAGTATAGTAGACTGGAATCAGACACAGTCCGTAAATCATGTATACCCACCTCATATGGTGTTTGATCCTCAGTTCCCTGATTGGTACTATGATACAAATGATGGGGAATGGTATAAGTTGGATACGTACTTTGCCTCATTGCAATCAGCCTCTGAAACTCAAAATAAAGTTACACAGATGGATAGTAGACCATTTGAATCGTTGCCTGGTAGCGATTATAAAAACCAATCAGATATGTATGGACAGGTTGCTACTTCACAGGGATTTGGTGCTGAAACCCCACATTACGATGGGGCTCAATCTTTCGGCCATTACAATCAGCAGGTGCATCAGGAAGCCACTGTCACGGCTAGATCTAGTTCAGAATACAAGCTATCTCAGCAATCAGAGAACCATTTTAGGCCAAACTTTGGTGGAAGCATTAATGCTCAGGAACAGTTATCTGGTGGTTATTGGGGAACACAGTCGTCTCATGAGCAAGTAAGTGTTGGGCAGAATCAGTATTCTGGAGGCTCACATAACTTGGTTAATGCTATGAACCTCACCCCGCAATGGATTCAGCCTAGGAATGAGCAAAAGCAACAGAGTCGTGTTTCTGGTGATATTTTTCCTGTGCAGAATTCAGTTAATTTTTCCCAACATGTTCAAGGTGCCTATCATTTCTCTCCTGCTATGCAGCCTGGAAGGTCCTCTGATGGACGTCCTCCATGTGCACTGGTCACATTTGGCTTTGGAGGAAAGCTTATCGTTGCTAAAGGCAGTAACTTTGTTGGAACCTCATCCTTCGAGGGCCAGGTTTACCTTGGAACTTTTTTGCACTTTGATTATATTGTATTTTAGGTCATTCATTGAGTTGTTTAGTTTTTTCCAATTCTTTGTAGAATCCTATTGGAAGCTCAATATCAGTTCTCAACTTCATGGATGTTGTTGCTGATAATGTTGATGCATCTGATTATCTACGTTCCCTTTGTCGGCAATCCTTTCCTGGTCCACTTTCTGGTGGAAGTACTGCCGTTAACAAATGGATTGATGAGAGGATTAGCAGCACTGAGTCTCCTCATATAGGCCATGAGAAAAGAGAGGTTTTGAAGTTGCTTTTATCTTTGTTGAAAATATCAGTACAGTACCAGGGCAAACTTCGTTCCCCTTTTGGGGCAGATGTGGTTTTGAAGGCAAGTTATCTATTTGCTAATGCTTTTCTTGTTGTTTGAGATTGTCTTGTTCCTACTCGAATTGAGAAGGAATACCATCAGATGCTGATGAATATGGCTTGAAATAACCTGTGGCATCTGTTTGAAGCCTTTCAGCTTGTTATGTTTCTTATTTATTGGAGCCCAATGACATTGTCTTTTTTTGATTCTATAGTTTTGGGTGTTTGGGAAAGGGATGTAAAATGGATTCTCATATAGGGAGGGAATCAACAGGATGAATAACTACTCAAATGTGAGTTTGTGCGCTAGATCACCTGGCTAATTGTATACGGAGTAAGATAAAATTAGGATGTGGATGACGACGATGCTTACGAAGGATTGGAAGGATATTTTGGATGTTATCAGTGTCATTCTAGTGCATTTATTCAGAAGCAGTAATAGTTGAGATAGCTATAGATATTTACGCATGTATGTATACGTATTATTTGTACTAGCGTGTAATGTCTGCACTCATGTCAATTTCTATGACCATGAAATCCCTTGTGTATATTTTTGAGGTCATTTGCCTCTTAGTCTTGCCCAATGGTCTTTGATATGAGTTAATCTTTACTCAATTTGGTTTTTCCTGTTTTAATGTTACCCTGAATTCTTGAAATTTACAGGAGAATGAGGCAGAAGCAGCTATTGCAAAGCTTCTTGCATCCCCCAAATTGAATGATACACAATTTAGCGGTTATGGTCCTGTTGCCCACTGCCTGCAGCAGTTGCCTTCTGAAGGGCAATTACGGGTATGTATGTGTTAGTTTTTAAGGTTTGTGTAGTTTTGGAAATTATGGATCAGATTATTTTTTTTTATTTTTTATCTTTTGTTTAGGCCACTGCTGCGGAGGTTCAAATTCTTCTAGTTTCGGGAAAGAAAAAAGAGGCTCTGAAATGTGCACAAGATGGTCAACTGTGGGGACCTGCACTTGTCCTTGCAGCACAGCTTGGAGAACAGGTTTCTAATACTAAGGGCCTATGTTTCATTTATTATTTAAAATTTCTTACGTCTTTGATTTACCGATGAAATATATTACCTTTTGCAGTTCTATGTTGAGACTGTTACGCAAATGGCCCTTAAGCAGTTAGTACCAGGTTCACCATTGAGAACATTGTGCCTATTGATTGCTGCTCAACCGGCTGCTGTTTTTACCGCTGATGACACAGCTATTAACAGTGTGCCTGGTGGTGTAAATATACCTCAACAGCCCACACAGGCAAGCCTATGAATGAGAAGTTATTATATTCATTAGTTATTATGTTTTGTAAAATTTCATGACAGGTTGCCATCTTGGTGTGTTGCGGTGTTCTTGATCTTGCTATCGTATTTGGGTTTCTGTTCTAGTAGATTTTGAATTTTCTTTTCCTTTGGGTTTAGTATCTAATGCAGTCCTCTTTGGGTTATTCCAGCTCGGTGAAAAGGGAATGCTTGATGATTGGAAGGAAAATTTGGCCGTGATAACTGCCAATAGAACCAAAGATGATGAACTCGTGCTTATACATCTTGGGGATTGCTTATGGAAGGAAAACAGTGATGTAAGTTAGGCCACTTGTTCCTTTCATAACAAACTATTTAACGTTGTTATTCTGTTTTTGAATATGATTTTCTCATCATCTTATTGTCAAACAATGAATCAGGTTTTTGCTGCGCACATGTGTTATCTAGTTGCAGAAGCAAATTTCGAGCCTTACTCAGATATAGCAAGACTCTGTCTTATTGGTGCAGATCATTGGAAATTTCCTCGAACTTATGCAAGTCCAGAGGCTATTCAGGTGCGGGAGTTGTTTAGCGGAACATTATGTTTCTTTTGTACCATTTACTTTATAGGCCTTAATGTAATGGGTGTTTAGTGGTCTGATCATTTTGCATGAACAGAGAACGGAGGTCTATGAGTACTCCAAGGTACTTGGAAATCCACAGTTCATCCTTCTTCCGTTTCAACCATATAAGCTTGTGTATGCGCACATGTTAGTTGAAGTTGGCAGGGTGTCAGATGCTCTAAAGTAAGCTTTGAAAGCTTTGAATTGTTAGCTAATGTTTATGTCTCGCTACTTATAAACTTGCTGAAGACACATGTTATTTTACTTCAGATATTGTCAAGCAGTACTAAAAGCACTAAAAAATGGCCGATCTCCTGAGGTAGAGACATTGAGGCAAGTAGCTACCTCTTTAGAGGACAGGATTAAAAGTCACCAACAGGTCCTGCTCTATCCATTGAAGCTTTTTCTCTTTAATACGAGTAATATTTTATCATAACGTAAGTGTAACTTTAAATTTCAGGGAGGTTTCTCCATGAATTTGGTTTCTGGAAAATTGGGTAAAATTTTCAACTTCATTGATTCTACTGCTCATCGCGTTGTGGGGCTGCCTCCCGCTCCTTCACAATCTATTGGCAATGTGCCAAGTACTGAAAGTCATTTTCAAACGGGAGCTAGAGTATCAACAAGTCAGTCAACGATGGCAATGTCTTCGTTGATGCCTTCTGCAGTGGAACCCAGTAATGGATGGACAGATAGTAATAAAAGGTCCATGCACAATAGAAGTGTTTCGGAGCCTGATTTTGGCAGATCTCCCAGACAGGTTTTTTTTTTTTTTTTTTTAATTCATTTCTAATTTTTTGTTGCTTAGGATATGTAGACATTATCATCTTTGTCAACTAATGTCATTAGGTTTTTGCCAAATTATCTAGGATCAGGTTGATGGATCAACAGAAACAAGTGCTTCAAGCACACAGGGCGAAACATCAAGTGCGGGAAATTCGCGGTTTCGCCGTTTTGGCTCCCAGATTTTCCAGAAGCTTTTAACCCCAAGAGGTGGTCGTCAGGTATGTTTATGTTGTTTTTCTGTTCTTTCTTATCGATATTGTATGTGAATGTGGTTTCCCAAGATCATTTAACCAATAATATATATTTTTTTCAATTGTTCTGTTGGATAATGATAGGCAAAGCTGGGCGACGAGAATAAGTTTTATTTTGACCAGAACCTCAAAATGTGGGTTGAGAAAGGTGCTGAACCCCCATCAATGGAAACAGCACCACCTCCTCTGCCAACTTCAACTTTCCAGAATGGGACATCAGATTACAACCTTAAAACTGCATTAAAAAGTGAAGGTCCACCCAGCAACGGGAGCCCAGAATATAAGACCCCACCGTTGGATCCGGGTGTAGGAATACCGCCACTTCCACCCACAACCAATCAGTACTCGGCACGTTCTCGGGTGGGGGTTCGGTCTAGGTAATCAAGATACTGATTTGTACTTTATTCTGAAATCGTTGGGGATTAAGACTGCATGCCTGCCTGAGGGGTCATATTTGCCAAGATGTAGGAAATATACAATCATCTGTTACATCTGTTTTTTCCCCCTTTTTTCTGCAGGTATGTTGACACATTTAACAAGGGTGGCGGGAACCAAACTAACTTGTACCAGTCCCCTCCTGTATCGTCAATTAAGCCTTCCATCAGTGCCAATGCAAATGCAAACGGAAAGTTTTTTGTTCCTGCACCAGTATCCTCTAATGTAGATACAACTGAAAGCCATACTGAGAGCGTACAAAATGGTCATAACATTACTGAAAACCCCTCGATCTCTAGTGCGGAGGTTCCGTTCCAGTCACCTCCACCTTCATCCTCGACGAATATGCAGAGATTTGGAAGCATGAATAGCATTTCGTCTATGAAGGCAGCAAATCCTAATGGACGGTTTGCATCAAACTCACGACGCACAGCGTCATGGAGTGGAGGTAGTTTTCCGGGAAGCTTTAGTCCGGAGATTGCTGGTGGTGCTGATGCCAGACCTTTAGCGGAGGTATTAAAGATGTCCCGACCAGCAATGCGTTCTCCAGGCGCTTCTACATTGATGCACTCGTCTGGAAGCGGTGGGAGCTTTGGTGATGAACTTCAGGATGTAGATCTTTGACACGCGTGAGGATGTAAATATATGGAATTTTGCAGCTCCATCCATCGGTCAGTGCTCGCAACCTTGCTGGAATTGTCGGGTCGCATGGAGAGGAATATGATTGAAATTTTCTTTTCTATTTTCCTTTCTCGCAAATCACCAGAAGCTCTTAGCCTTGTATGTGAAAATCAGTTTGTTAATTAGCTACTTATAGTTAGTTTAGACACAGGGTTCACTATCTCGTGAAAGAAATGTGCACCATCTGGCGTTCTATTATATTTCGAAAGTGGTCGCACAAGCGCTACGCTGTACAGCTTTTTTGATTTGTTCATTTATTAAAGAGTCCCCTTGTAGAAGTGAGAAGTTGACACTCATCAAGGGGGAAAAGCAAATGAAAGGGATACAGATTACAAATTTACAATGATAGATAAGGTACTCTCTTTTTGATTACTTGTTTCATTTCAAAAGAATTATTTGGAAACAACCCTTAGCTTAGATTGAAGACAATGAATATTTGTTTTTTTCCGGTTTAAATTGACCATCAATCATCAATCTCGTTGTTAAGCGCCTGATATCTGAAACATTCAAGGCCGGTCACTCTATAATACTGTGTACAAATAATTACAAAATTAGGCAATTATGGAGTTAGAACTATTTTTACTTATAGGATATGTGGTATGAGTAGGATTAGCCCATCATGAATCGAAGAAGTAAGAAAGCCAGAAATGGATGGAGGACAGTGTTGAGCCAAATTTGAACCCCACCTCTTTCGCCAAACTAATGCATTTTTTTTTTTTTTTTTGAAACGGTCCAAACTAATGCGTTGATGACAATGGAAACTAAAGCCCTCAGCTGACAATTCTGGTCATGGACACGACTTTTAACTCCCCTCACATATTATTCACTCCTCTGAAATTATTGTACAATTTAAACTTTATTTTTAATTTAAATTATACTAAAAATAAATCTCACGATTTTATTGTAAATTAAAAATTGTACTTTTCTTTTGACCTTTTTTTTGGAATAAAATTATTTTCATTCCACTTTGCAAAATAGCAATTTAAAACTCCATTCAGAAAACTCAACTACTTAGGCTAAGCATCATCCTAGATGTTTCTGGACCAAACAAAATTACATCACAAACCTACCAACTATTACAAAAAACACAACATTGTTTTATCTAAGAGAAACTTGGGTAATCCCCATCGTGTTAGCCCAAACCTTGTTCTTCAGGGTGTTCTTCATCTGTTTTACTTTTGCCAGATTTAACTTTTATCTTCTAAGCAAGTTCAAATACTTTAGGAGCCTCACCTCTAAAAATAAGTTTATTCCTTGCATCCCAAATGAGGTAAATAGTAGTCACAAACGTATTTCTAATGGTGTTGTCTATAACAGAGCTAGAACCATAATGATGCATTACCCAAACTACCAAATCCTTCCAAGGAATCAGAGGAACAAAGACTTGAACAAAATTCATAGTATTACTAATGAGATGATTTGAAAGTAAGCACTCACAAAACAAATGTTCTCTGGATTCAACTTGCATACTACAAAAAGCACAAACTGTGCTAATAGAAGAGTCAAATTGAGCCACCCTTTCCCTGGTCCGAAGCCTGTCAAGTATAGCTAACCAAGCTATAAAGCTGTATTTTGGAGTAAAGTACTTTCCTCATACTAATTTGTACCAATGAACAGAAGGATAATCATGCACAATGGTTAGAAAAGTTTCAGCTGAAGAAAAGCATGCCCTTTACCTTACCACACAAGTATTCCTCCATTGGAGTTATCAACACATTGTATAGCAATATGTCTCAATCCCATGATTTTTTTCATAATCCAAGAAGTACTTTTTTTTTTTTACTTTTGAGAATGAGAGAGTAATCATTTTTGCAAAACAAAAACAAAAAAAAAAAAGAAAAGAAAAAGAAAACACCTAAATCCGGTTTTAACCAAACCAAAGTATCGACAGTGGCAGAGCTAGGAAAAAATCTCACTGGGAGCACTGTCAAGTATTGACATCATGTTTTTTTTTTTAAATAAAAGATGCTAGTGAAAATTATTCTCGTATTAAACAAATATTTGTCTCATACATTCTTATTGCTTGAATAAGTTAATTGGAGAACAAAGTTTTGTAAACACATATCACTATGTATGATATAAAAGTAAAGTTTTAAATTTTTAAATGATTTTTCTGCTCTTAAATTTTTTTTTCCCTTGAAAGAAGTCAAATTTTAATTAACAATATAATCTTTTTTAAAAACATAGCTTTTTTTTTCTTACTACGGGCAATTAATGGGCTTTTTGAATTCTTAAACATGAAATATTAATATCTTTTAAAGTCCAATTCACATTAATTCTCCCAACCAAGTAATTCACCTAATTAATTATAATTTTTTATAATTTTAGAACAATAAATCACTAAATATAAATAAAACACTCTAAAGGTGGGACCACTCCAGTGGGGGACGTGCCCCACCCTAAATCCGCCTATGAGTACCGGACCATAATTGTGGCATTTTCGGACGTTTAGCACCGAAGTTTAGATTTTTTGGTGGATTCAGAATTCAGAGTGAAACTGTTCCAAGATTTAAAGTAGGGGTGTAAACGAGTCGAGCCGAGCGCGAGCAGACCTCTTATCGAGCTCGGCTTGAGTCATTTTCACTTGGCTCGAACTCGAGCTCGAGCTCAATCGAGCCTGAAAAATTTTTGCTCGAGCTCGGCTCGCCTTAATTTTAGAAGGCTAAAACTCGGCTCGTTGAGCTCGATTTTCTTAATAAAAAAAAACTAAATAATCTATTAATAATTTGCATCGAGAATCAAGATGCAAAAATTCTGCATAGATCTAAAGTCTCAAATCAAAGAAGTTATAAATTGGTATGATTTTTATACATTCGAATTCCAATTAAAAACTTTCGAATCTATATATTCTCTATATAAAAGAGATTTGTGAGTCACCAATTCCTCCTCAGATCAAAAAGAATAAATGAAAAGCCTCTATATCTATATAGATCTAAGTACTGAGTATCAATATGCCCTTCATCAACTGAAATCCTTGCACCAAACTCTCCAACAACTAAACACCAAACTTCCAAACAATCAACAAAGAAAAAAAAAATCGACAATGGGCCTTAGCTCCTCTTAATGTTCCTAAATTTTGTGAAGTGGGAGATTTGTTTAAGATTCGAGAAGGGGGGAGGGGGGAGAATGGAATGGGAAGGAGGGAAACATCAGGGTTTTTTTTTAGATTTGTTTTTGGAGAATAAAAAGCAAAAAAAAAAAAGAAAAGTAAAGAAGAAGAAGAAGACATGGAGAAAAGAGACGTCAGATGCTTTTGAAAGATGGAAAAGGCTTTGGTGGGTTCCAGGTTCCAACTTTCATTTAAGAAGTCTCAAATATAAGTAAAATTTTATTATTTATTAAAATATATATGCATAGCCGAGCCGCTCGACAAGCTTTCGAGCCACATTCCTACGGACTCAAACTCGACTCGTCTGATTAATGAGCTCGGCTCGAACTCAGTCAACTCGAATTCGAGTCGAGTTTTAACCGAGCCAGTTTGTGAGTAGCTTGTGAGCGACTCGGTTCGTCTACACTCCTAGTTTAAACCGGTCAAATAAGTAATAAGAAACAATAAAAAAGCTACAAAAGGAGGGGGTGGTTGGGTGATACAAAACAAGAAACTCAATGGTTAATTTTTAAAAGCAAAACTGCACGTTTGAGCTGAAAAAAACAACTGAAATTTTAATTTTAGGAAGAAAAATAAATAACTGAGGATTGGAGCAAATGTTGAATATCAGAAAATGCGCTGAAAAAGAAAGTTGAAAACATGAAAATAACAAAGGTATAAAGTGTTAGGCAAAATGGTTAGTTGAGATACACTTGCAAAATGCATATTAAGTTTTAACACAATTTGACGACTGTTTATGTAATCGTGATTATTGCAATTTTGCAAAGCAAAGTAGCTCCATTCAATTAAAAAATGATATTAAATATTCTGAATCTAAACTCAAAAGTTTTCTCCATCAGCAGTACATATACTACATAGAATATTCTTTTTGTTGTTTGTACCAAAGAATCCATAAGCCAAATGCTCTACTTAGAACTCCGCTGATCCGGGCGTCCTCGGAAAAGGTATGGCATCTCTAATATTATCAATACCAGTTGCGAATTGCACTAGTCTTTCGAAACCCAATCCAAATCCAGCATGAGGAACTGAAACAACCATCCAGGCAAATAACATTTTCAAAGTTAGTCCTCAAAGCACACCCGACAAACCTAGTTTCTGGCTATTGCGAAATGCATCCAAAGATCCCAGTAAGCCATGTACCCACAAAACTATACAAAATGAATGAGCGATTGATGATTAAGAATAAAGAAGATATGAGAAGAGCTAACAAAAAATAAGTAACTTCAACTTCAATGACCAACCTGAACCATAACGACGCAGATCAAGATACCACCAGTAGCTCTCTTTACTAAGCTTTAGATCATCCAAACGTTTTTCCAACATCTCAAGGCGTTCCTCTCTTTGGCTTCCCCCGATAAGTTCACCAACCTGATAATAAAGGGAACCACTTAGATTACTCCTATGTGTCTAGTCTGTCTCACCAGAAAAGGTATAAACCAACGAATGAGTAAACAGACAAATATGTGCATAACAGATTTGAATTAATCACTAGTATTTCATGTTCTGCCAAAGGGCATAAACAGCGCATAGTAGTTCAGAAAAATACAAATTCAAAAAATTTCCAATTTCAACTGATGCACTTCCAAGTCGAATAAAGCTTCAAAACATTCTCACTTGGCACACACACATTACCAACACCGTACACCCACATTCCCATTTCCCACCAAAAGAAAAAGAAAAAGGAGTATCAGATGAAGAAGCAGTACCCGTGGAACCAGCATGTCCATGGCTGCGACAGTCTTTTGGTCATCATTTTCTCGCATGTAAAATGCTTTAATCTCCTGAAAATAGTTGTCTCATGGAATTTAAGTATCATCTAAATAATTGGAGGATAATTCACACTCAGTAATCTAAGGGGAAAAGACAGGCCTTTGGATAGTCTCTGATAATAACAGGGCATCCAGCAAAGGCCTCTTCAGTTATATAGCGCTCATGTTCACTTTGCAAATCACATCCCCATTTCACCTGTGAAATCCCAAACTCGTACACAGTTATGATCGTCAAATCTACTAGAGCCATTTGCTTGGTCAAGAAGATCATTGAAACTTTAAATTTTGAAGATAGAAGTGTTAAATTAAACCACAATGACTCGTCCGGACACTAGAAATTCTAGTGTGATGATTAGGCATGTTGGAGAAAGAAGAAGTGAAATGATTACCGGAAATTCAAACTTCTTTTTTGCTTTTAAAAGAAGATTGATGGCATCTGTGTATGTCAACTGCACAAAATTTTTTTCCACGACATCCTGTTGTACAGAAAATGGAAAAAGAATATTGTTCAGGGCAAAGCTAAAGAGGACCCAAGAGCCAAAGTCTGGGAATAAACTTTCTAAAAGAATATATTCCGTATACTATCAACTTCATTCGGAATGCTAGAAAAGTTGGCAACAGATTGTGCAGGGGACAGTTAATTCATACAGTTAGTCGCTTGATGATTCCTTTCTCTATCCATGTATCAAAGAAAGCCATATCTTCCTGGCAATTTTCTAGAACATATTGTACCTTCAAGGAAAAAAAAAGCATAAAGTTAGATGCAATCAGAGAAGAATGTAAGGAAATAATAAGTCCACTAAAGCTGTGAAAGTAACATACTACGTACTGGAGATAGGCAGTGGCACATGCCATGTCATCTTCTAGATCAGCAAAGGCTAATTCCGGCTCAATCATCTTACAAGAGAAAGAATCAGTTCTAGGTTACATGATTAACTTGGACCATACATACGTAATATCATTGAATAAGAAACAAAATAAAAGAAATGAAACACGAGCAGTTGCACAGATGATTAATCTAGCATACCCAGAATTCAGCTAAGTGTCGGGAAGTGTTGGAATTTTCAGCCCTGAATGTGGGGCCAAATGTATACACCTGGAAGATAATACACAGATTCCAGAAACTTAATTACATTACAACAGTGTGCAAATCAAGAAGAAGAAAAGCATTTCAACAACACAAATACCGAAGAAGTGGATATACATCAGAAAGAGCAGTTGCATAAGTTTCCCCATTGAGCTGTCCAGACACAGTTAGGAATGCTGGTTTCCCAAAGAAGTCCTGCAATGGAAAGAACAAATTTAAATTGCAAAAAGCACTCTAAGTTTCCAGCACATGACTCACCTTAGCAAATGTATTCTCATAAAGTACTCAATATGTTACACAATTTTAAGCTACCCAGTGAAAGCACAGGGAACACAAAAGTAAACTGCAAATATGGTAGGAAACAAAATAAAAAAGTACAGCAAACTAAGGAAATCGAAGAAACACTATAGCCTCTAAAACTTCCCAAGAGTTCTTCCATTCAGCAAAGACACATTGCCATAAGAGAGAAGATCACATTCTCATGACCACATATAGCATACAACATTGCTATCTCTGGACTGAATCAAGGTACAGCAAAATTCAACTTCAGTGCATTCTTACCTGAGACCAGTCAATTAAACCGTCTTTTGTACTTGGAATTGCCGCAACAGGAGTATGGGTCGTTTCTCTGGAACCAGGAATCTGTTCATTTCAAGTAATGTTTTAGAAAGCATGAAGAAAGAACCTTTCAAACAAACAAAATATAAGACCACGTGAGTAATTGAAACAAAACTGTTTCCTGCCACGAAAAGAGAGGAGATTGTAATTCAGATGCATGTAGCTGGAAGAGAGAAACATCTATAAATATGAAGTAAGAACATCGCCATAAAAATCACTCTTTTTAAGAAAAGATAAAACAGAAGATGAGGGATGGGTTTGCTGCATGGTTAAAACATCCACAGTCAACACAAAGAAACGAGTGATGATCCAAAGGCAAGTCTTGCTAATATATATTCTTAACTCTCACAAAAACAAAATTGCACTACCCACTCATTAATAATTGAAAAATTATCTCCAGCACCCCCCTTCACGAAAATTGAGATCACAAATTGAAGAAAGTGACAAGGAGGAGTGCGAGAATGACACCAGCTGCAATAGAGGAGGCAGGTATAATTAAGAGGAAACAAAAAAAAAACAGAAACATGTGGTGTTTAATAGCATATATAAGTATATAAAAAGTGATAAGCAAGACAATTTAAAATATCGAAGTGAGATATAGAAAGATAAACAGTATGAAAGGTACCATACCAGCGTAGTTACACAAAATTGTTCCCCAGCTCCTTCACAGTCAGAAGCTGTGATGATTGGACTAGAGACCCAAATAAATCCATTATCTTGAAAAAACTTGTGTGTGGCATAAGCCAAGGAATTCCTTACCCTAGCAACCTAAATGTAAACCAGACAAAAATGGGATTTCAGTCAGCGTCCATAAGCTAAATAGACTGTCCATTAAGGCTTCAGATCACCACAGGAGCCATATAAACATATTTCTAAATATAAAAACGGTGGCAGCTGGGAGAGGCACAAATGTAATTTGAAGTATCAGCGTCTAAATGAAGAAAACATTACTCACTGAACCTGTTTATTCAATAAGAAACTAATTAGCACCAAAGATAACCAAAAATAAATTATGTTATCACATTTAGATATAGCCGGGAAAAAAGAGACTAACTAGGAAAGGGAAATTTATTTACTGTTCAGCTGCTTCAAGCAACTAAAAGAAAATGTTAGCTATTTTGAGTGATCAATTTCTACCCGTTTTTAGCACTATGACCTATATGCCCACTCTCATTCACCTCCCACTAATCATGCAAAAAAGATGACCATAAAAAATCCAAAAAACAGGAAGAAATACGGAGAGGAAAAAAACACCTGGGACCTAACAGATGGCTATTAAACCTTCAAATCTCACAGAAACAACACAAAATTTGCAGTTTCATGGTTCTAATAGGGAAGGGGAGAACCCTTCCAATAAAGACAGATAAGTTGTTAAGTGTGGTAGACATTATTCCCAGCAATTAAAACAAAAAATCACATGGTAAATCTGTAAAATACTAGCACACAAAAGGAAATATTTAAGCAAAATTTGACCAAAATTCAGGACAAAGTAGAAGAAAATAACAGTTGATAATCAGCACTAGTAAATAAGTAAGAAACAACTGTGAATAAGCAAGAAAGTAACTTACAGTTCTACTTCTCATATTAGCATCTTAATCTATAAAAGAATTCATCTGAGCAATGAAACTATAAATAGTAGAAGAAAGATTAAAATTAAACAAGAACAAGAATCATACCGCACTAAAAGTATTTGTTCTGGGACGAAGATGTGCCTTAGTTCTCAAAAATTCTCGGCTGACTCTTTTCTTCTGAATTGGAAACGAAGGATCACTAGGCCCAACCTATATAAACAGATATATAAGAAAAGATGAAAGTGTTTCTGAGGCTGTTCCTTCAAAAGTCTTGACCTGATTTAAGGTCCACATTCATTCTAAACATTTCAATTTGACTTTTACATTAAATCCAGTGAATATCAGTTAACTCTAAAAGGGAATGAACCAATATTTTCACAAACTTATAAAGTGAGCAAGAAAAAGAATAAATAAATCATAAAAGCAGAACAAAAATGTTGCACATTAAAACATATAAATATTGAAGGCATTTTAAAAACTTTAAAAAGAATTTGTAAAGTTGCACCAAAGATGCTGATGGTAAAATATGCCCAAATGCTGAGGTGATGAAGAGAAACAGCCAAAATAACTATTTCTAGCTCAATTAACTATAAGCTTCAAGAATCGAGGTAGGTTATTTACCAGAACAATTTTTTCAACCTTCAATTCCACCTTCTGCTTTGATCCTTGGCTCTTGACAAGAACACCTCTTACCCAAATTGACGCCCCGGTTAAGACCAAACCCTTTTCTACCTATCAGAAAGGCCCACAGTAAGCATTAAGTGAGCAATTAAACACATCTAAGTAAAGTCGCAACAACGTGAAAAGCATGTTAAATAAGAAAAAAAAAACTATTAATCACTAGAAACTTAAGAAAACCCCACAGAGATATACTTTCTGAGACCATACGGAAAGTGCAAACGCTATCAATAAGCATGCACAGGTCAGTTCATTTGAACAAAACCACATCCAAAAGTACAATTTACTAAAGTTCGCCTCAATTGGCCACTGAATAAGCAGATGCACATGGAGATAATTAAATGTACAGATACTAACAAAATTTACAGATACCACCAAAGATATTCAACTTCAAATATCAGAATTTAAGTGTACACCTACCAGCAAAGAAGCACATGGTATAAGTAATATCAAAGACAAAGGGATAATGTTTCCGATCAAAATAGATTCTACCTGATCATAACCCTCAGCATCGGAACTCAACACACATTGCATGTTTGAAAGACAAGAGCCATCATTAATCTGTAGATGAAAAACAGAACCTTCAGTGCCAATTATAGGGTCAAAGTTCGAGCTTGCAAAAACAGAAATCAAATTGTTACAAAAAGATACAGAAATGTTAACTGGTCATATTTCGATAAATCCCAACAAAGACATGCTCCACCCCAAAAAACCAAATTGAGAAGATGGAAAAAAAAAAAAGTACATTTGATTGAGTTAATGTACAACAAGAACATAAAATTGTCACCATTTCCAACTCCACAAACCCAATCTTTTCAAATTGGCATGCATCAAACAACCTTAAAATTAGTAAAACCATAAGACATTAATCGAAACCCACCTCAATAAAAGAAATGCTGCTCTGAGCACGAACAGTTCTAACCCAGCCCTTAACCACCAAGGTCTCGTCCAACCGATTCAACCCCTCATCTGGGCCGCCTTTAATATCAACAATCCTCAATCGTTTCCGAAACTCCCCAACTTTTTCTCCAATTTTAACTTCCTCTTTATCGAAAGATTCGGTCTTTGTGGCTTCGCCGGAGGAAAGGGCGGCTGAGACTACAGAGCAGAAGCTCCGGCCCCGGTGAGAGTTCAATGTGGAGAGTGGTGGGGTGGGGTGAGGAGTGAAGTGATAAGAGTGGAAGTGATGAATTTGGTGGTATAAGGCGGTTTTGGAAGCTCTCCGGTAAAGGGAGAAGAAACGGACGGCGGAGAAGGGTTTCAGGCGGAGAGACACCGCCGGAGAGAGCGCCACAGCCATCGGCTTTTTCAGTGGCCACAGTCGGAAGACTTGTTATCGTTTGTCCCCGCCAATTATGTAATTTTATTGTTATAAGCAAAATTATCTTTTTCCGTTAAAGAGGAAAAAAAATTTATGGTTTTTTTTTTAAAATTAAACCAGGCAAATACCTGGAAAATTTATAGATAATCAGAAGTATTTTTTTTATGCAGTGCTTAATACTTACCCTATACAAGAGACCGTCAAAAAGTCAGAGATTTAAATATCCGTAAATATACTTCAAAAGAGATCTAATTGGACCTATACAAAATTATGTCTAATGTCTGGTATTTTCCGAACTTTTCAAAACTATTTTTCTAGTAACTCAATAAAGAAAAACTACAGACTAAATTTCTTGTCATCGTGATTCGCTTCTTTCGGATCACAGATCTGAACTGTCGCGTTTAGGGGTATATGGAGAATCCAAATCTGTGAGTGATATACATGTAAATTGAACACTGTTAATTCTAAAAAGAGTCACTAAAATATAATTAATCCGAATCCAAACTTGAACCAAATATATGAAATAACCGTATGAACCAATTTAGTTTGTTTGTAACCCAAATTGGCGAACCGATATGTACCGACGAATCGATATAAAAAAATTTATGATTTTTTTTTCAAGCCAATATATATAGTTTTTTTTTTCTTTTTAATTTAGTTTGTAGGACATTGATAGAAGAAATTCGTGCGGGAAACTAAGAAAAAGGAAGAAAAAAATGTCTTTTTTCCCAAAGGAGGGAAGTAAGTTATCAAAACAATATATTCTCACCTTCTCAGATGAATAATAAGAGAATGCAGGAAAAGCTATAAATACATGAGGATCAATTTCAATCGTCCGGTAAATTTGATCGGTGCCTTTTTTTTTTTTTGGTCAAAAGCAATATTCATTTCATAATAAAAAAATAAATAGAGATTATAACTTTACTGAGCACTAATACAATCTGTCCTAAACGACTCATCAAGCCACAAAGGAGCATTACTACTCCATGTTTATGTACATTTACAAGACAAGCCTAATTTGGCAAGATTGTGACTAGAAGAGTTCCACTCTTTTCAAATAAACATGAATTTATAACAATAAAATAATGATTTCAGCAAACATATGTCTTTGACCATGGTGATTACCTCTGAAACGGGAGTTATACTACCCTGTAACCAAGCAATCATATTCTTAACATCTATTTGGACTTCAATTTTTTGCACTCCTCTTTGATAGGCTTCCATCATAAGTATTCTTACTGCTTCAAGTTCAGCTGCTAAGGGGCTTAGCACATGACTTTGAAATGCTGCCTTTTCTATGATCAAATTCTGGTTTGCTCCTCTTATGCAGAAACCTAACCCTGCTGTTTTCTCATCCAGTTTCATTTCTGAAGCACAATTGATCCTACAGAATCCTTGATCAGGTGCTTTTCGACCTGCTGTCCTTCACTTCTTCTTTCAACACCTATTGTGTTCTTTTTATGGTCCTGTACCTGTTTAAATTCCCCCCATTCTTTCATAGCTCGCTGCACAACCTCCATTGGCTCTAATTTCTTCCCTTCATATAACCATACATTTCTGGCCTTCCAGATTTGCCATAGGATGTAAACGGAGAGTTCTACTCTGGCCTGGACTTCCTCTCCCTTTTCAATCTTCATTAAGGCGTCCCACCAATCAGAGAATTGGTTTGTTAAATGTTGCAGTCCATCCCATTTTACCGGCGACATCTCCCAAACCAGTCCGGCGAAATCACAAGCAAAAAGCTTATGGTGTACTGATTCTCCTCCCTCCCCACACCTTCTACATGTTTCCTCCACATTTAGCCCTCTTCTGATCAGGACAGAATTGGCTGAAATCCAACCCTTATACAACTTCCAGATAATATGTTTCAGTTTAGCTTTGATAGGCAGCTTCCAAGTTTTGGTCCACACTTTCCTCGCCTCCATCCTCCCCCCACTTGATTCAGTCTGACTATCGCCATTTCCTTTAATCTTTTCAATCTCTCTATAAGATGAAGAGACCGAAAAATTTTCTATTTGATTCAACCCCCATACCAACTCATCCCTCACCCCAAACTTACTTACAGGTATCTGCATAACCTGTTCTACTTCATTAGGAATGAGAATCTGGTGAAAGATTTCAGGCTTCCATTTCTTTGTCTCAGAATTAAGTAACTGCTCCACTTTGATTAGAGATTGACTATCCAGACCCCTCCTTTGAACACCTACACTAGAAATTGATCGGAGACTAACAAAATATTATTTTATTTTTCTAATTAAAAATAATAAATCTTCGAAAAATATTTTTTTAAAGTTTTATTTTTTAATTATAAAAGAATACGATAAATGAAACCTAAAATATTAAACTGTCTTATAATAAGAAACAACGGGAGTATTAATTTAGTTATATCAAGTTATTTGCGATATTATACAAGGACAACTGATGATTATGTAATTTGTTATTGTCACATCAATCCATGATCTGTTTCACAGTAAAGTTTTCACTCAGTTTTTGTTTGCGACCTCTATGGACTTCAGTTTGTTTGTCTTTTTAATAGTGCTAAAATCCTTCGTTTACCATTCGTACCTCTCTATCTTACTATGAAGAACCAGCGAAACCTTTTTGCCTTTACAAAATAGATTATCAATAACTTCTAATTTTTGGTACAAGCACTTAAAAACATACCATGGAAATGGAGAGTAAACAAAGAAAAAGTTGGCTTTTCATAAGCTTCGTTCGAAATCTATCGTAAATGAATCACTCAATTCCTAGAACTTCTTCGGGATTACACAATATCAACAAGCAATTCGCGGGGAAAGGCAAAAATGCCTTCGACAACACCCAAATGCTTCCGGCACAGAATACCGCAAAAGCTGTTCCGATTCAACTCATCATGCCTGCCTGAAAAGTGTTTTTTAACTATTGAGACTGCGTTTAACCAAACTGTGAACGCAGCTCAATCATTCCGCAGAACGAGGGGGGTTCAACTTCAACAGCATAACCTCTGGCTTAGAAAGAACCTATTCATTTGCTTGGGTAAAAAAATTGGATATCTACCGTAATCAAGTGAAAATGGATTACAATAAAAGGATAATCCACATTTGCACAACTATAAATGTCTTCTTTATCGAATTGAAACATCAAGTCGTACTCAAGAACAGATGATCACAAAATGTAACCAAACCAAACCAAACCAAGCCTGACTATTTTATTTTATTTTTTTTTTCATTACATTGATGTTTGAAAACCTTTGACGTTTTCTACATACATACGATAATAAATTAATAATCTCAACTGAAGCGAACTCTCCACTGTCCTGGAACACCAATTAATGCACTTACCTACATTCAGGCTCCTGTCCAAATTAGTTGCACCCAAGCAACAAATGCATCCTGAAATTTTTCGAAGTGACAATTTAGGTGCTTGAAATTTAAACAAAGGATTCTACATAGCCAAATGTACAAATCCTGCATCTGTCATCCTACCATCCAACTTATATCCTCAGAATCCTAGCAACAATATAAATATTATTCACAATTGCAAAAGGCTATGTACAGATATTCCAGGTGCCAAACTGATCACATCCCAACAAACACCACTCAAAATGGATCAGAGTTGTGCCTAGAACTGGCCTAGTGATGATGAATACTATTGTTTTAAGTGAAGCATTAGGAACACTAGTCATTAATGCCCATGTTTTTTAAGGTTAGAACTACTCACCATACATAAACTCCAAGTTACCAACTCAATATCGATTATACGTTTTTCCATAGTCATCGCGCCTCTGACGTTGGAAGTCATCATAAGCATCGTGAGGCCTTGAAGAAGGAAAGTTCCCCATTGAATTTGGATACCTGCCTCTAGAGTCCGTAGACATATTGCCTCCAGAATATTGATGATTGCTCATAGAATTATCATACTCGGGATAACTGGATTGTTTATATCCACTGAACCCAGAACCTGGCAAGTGCTGCTGCACCTGCTGTTGTCTCTTTTGGACATCCAGCTGAAGAAACTCATTCCATTGTTTTGCATGAGTCTCCCGCAAAACGGCCAGCTTCTTCATGTAATTCTCTCTAATTTCTCTCACGGCCTACCATTACAAGACAACAATAGTAAATCACACTCTAGATGTAAGTATAATACATGACAGCAAAAATAAATTCCACGTTTCGTACCTCACGGTGCCGGTAATTTTCTTCATCTTCTTCCTTATCCCGCATCCTAGCAAGATCCATTGCCTCTCTCTTATGTTCTAATTCTAGTTCCTCTAATGTCTGTGGGAATGCAGGATAGTCAAACTTACGTCCAAACTGCATCTCCGATGACTGTCTCTCGGTATCCCATGCTTCTGTCCTGTAAATCCCCCGGCCTTGACTATGGCTGTCATATGAATTATAACTGTTAACTTGATAAGGCGGACGTGCAGGAGATCTCGAATGGCTTGATTGACGTCTAACACCTTCACTACCATAAGCTTCACCAAAGGAAGAGTTTGTTAAGCACGTCCATTCACGATCTCTAACAGAGATAGCAGCTTATCAACACAAACTATCTGAAACTCATAGAGAAGCCTATCTGAAGCAGACAATCCCAATAGGCTTTTGATTTAAAACATCATTTTGCAGGTCAATTCCTTTCAATTCAGACTCACCGACAAAGTTACATCAGAACTGAACAGAACTCTTGAACACAAGAACTTACCTCTTGCTGCAAACAATATAATACAACAAAGCTGGGTTATTTGAAAGGAGTCAGGATATACAGCAGCATCACATTGGATGCAAGGAATGACTACCGCTATATGACAGCAAAAGATATCTTATTATGTTCCTACCTTTGGGCGAATTTCTAGCTATCTTTTGCAAATCCTCACGCACACTGACTTCCACAACTTTATCTTGTCTGCCAAACCTATTCTGGAATTGTGAGGCGCGTTGGGGGCTGGGATTAGATCTCTGCGAGTCAGAACGTGAGAATCGAGAGGTAACAGGGCTTATTCTTTCAGGAGGACTTCTTCGTTCAGGTGATCTGGATCTTGAAAGTTGAGACATAGAAGAATCCTTTTTCTCACCTTCTTCTTTAATCTTATGAACGGCATCGACTCCTTTTTTCAAAATCAACCTATCCTTGCCGCTGACAATAATAAATTTCTCTTCTATCTTGATTTTGCACCCAATATCTTTCTCAAGTTCACTCACAACCTTCTCGGTAAACAATGCTTTAACATGAGGTTCTCTTGCAGCCACTCTTTCGAAGAAATCTTGGGACTTCCGATTTGCTCCAAGCGTAGAAGGACAACCCTGAGTTGGTTTACTTAGCATGAGTACATGGTTACACTTCACCAATCATTTATCATCCATGATTGATTTTAACAAGGGAAAAAGGTGGCTATGTAACAGGGATGACAAACACTACTTCCCATACTCTATCCATCAGAAACTTTCGATAAGCATACTCAGGGTTATCAAACATTAGGAGAATATTAATACTCAAACTGCACTACCAAACATAGCCTAAGCAATCCAGAGATACCACCAAATAAAACCCGAACTCAGATAAATCCTCCATTAATTTCTATTCTTATTATTAGTATTAATAAGGAGGTTATTAAAGCCAAAATATCGAAATTCTAAGAGGAAACGAATGTTATTACCTGAGTAAAATGCCCCGATTCTCCACAAATTTTACAAATTAACTCTTCCTCCTTCCTTTTCTTCCAATTTCTTTCCGTGGCTTTAGACTTAGCCTCCCAAAACTTAGCTTCTCTGCTAGTGAAATCAGTCGGAACAGCATTAGGATCAGGGGCATCCTCTTCCTCTTCAGGTCCCAAATGAGATCTTTTAGCAGCCGCAGTCCTCTCGGGTGGGGAATTATCAGCTTTTGAACCCAAAGGACCAGTGTATGCCTTATAAAGTTCACTGAAATCTTCGTCATCCGAAACCTCTCGACTCCCCATTTGCTTAAACTAAACTTGCGTCAACTCCTGCGTCGATCCATTACCCAAAGAATCTCAGTCCCAGTACTTTCATGGAATTTAAAGTGCAGTTTGTAATGCATTACAGCATCTTACACTTAAACTAGAGAACAATCGCCAGTATCTAATGCTGGCATTTACATAATCAAACAGGCACATTCATCTTCTTCCCCCTAATACACAAATGTAAGCTACACCTTTCTAACCAAACAAAATTTCGATTTGCAAATTAAAACATGCTCTGCCTCATCTATCCAACTCATCAATAAACTCCAAAAGGGTTTTGGACGAGTTCCCAAAGATTTAAACATCGCTAAATCTAATCTTAATCAAACAAAAAACCAAAACAGCATACTAAATTAAAACCCCTAGCCCAGCAAAGCTAATGACCAAGTCGGTCACACTGAAGGGCTCTTCCTCAGTAATAAGAATTGCATAAAAATTATTACCAAACGATACTCACATAAATAAAAGCTTTCAAAAATTTAAAATTGGAATGCAGGGATACTGCACTGGGCTTAAACATTGAATTGAAGAATTAAAGGGAGAGGTAACAATGGCGGACGAAAGCTGATTAGCTAATGATAAATGATGAGGATAATAAAATTGAGGTTTACCTGGAAAAAATCAGGGAAGAGAAGAAAAAATCGAGAAAAATAAAACACGCAGTCACACAGTGAGAGTGATGAATTAAGAAGAGAGCGGCGAGAAGAAAGAGATGTAGAAGAAATGGCAGAAGCTCTGTGGTGGTGCCTTAGGGCTTGTTTTGGCCTTTCACTCTCTTCTCTCAGTTTCAGATGCACTGCTTTTAATTTTCGGAAATTAATTAATTAATATTACAGTGTTTCAGTAGAAAAGAATTTTAATTGAAAGGCTTAATTTCACAACACAACCTTCAACTTTAGTCAAATATCAAAATACCCGAAGCCGTAGCCATTTGCTCTTTTCACGATTCACTAATTTTTTGCATTATGGTGTGCATGCGATTCTTGGAGAAAAATTGGCCGATCTACTTTAAACTTTACCCTCGTTGTCAATTTTTACCCTAATTTTTTTTAATTAGCTTATTTTACTTTTAGCTATCACAACTTTCGTCAATTCGTCTTTTTTGCCCAATTTCCGTCCAAATTAACGGTTTTCACATTTTTCCGTCAAATGTGCCATTATTTTATTATAAAAAATTAAATTGGACCCTTTCCATCAGATTTATTCCTTAATCACTTTTGACTTAAACCTAATTATGTTGGGTCAAAGTGGAGGTTAATTTCCCCCCAAAAAATTTGTGGGCCCCACATGGCCCAAAAAAATTCCCACTTTATAAAAGGTCAAACCCCTTATTTCACACTGATTCCACACTGATTTCAACTGGAAATTTTTTTTCTTCTTCTCCACTTTTTTCTCTCTATCGTGAATCAACAGAGCATGGCACAATTGTGCAATTGTGGAAGCCCTGCAGCACATCGCACTTGTTGGAGAGGCAACAACTTGGGCAGAAGGTTTTTGGCATGTCCTCATTGGCCAGATCCTGGGGTGTGCAATTTTTTTGTGTGACTAGATCCCCAGTTGGAGGTCAGAGGACGGGTGATCATCCAAGGTCTGCTTAGGTGGATAAATAACAGTAGGGACAGGATGAACATCTTAGAAGCCGACAATCTGAGATTGCAAAGGCATGAGCGGCGAATTTGGTTTTATGTTGCTGCTACTACCATTGTGGTGGTGTGTATGTGTTTGATGAGGAACTAGGTTCTTCATAGCAATCATCAAGACCAGTACTTTATAAAAAAATAAAAAATAAAAATCAAGACCAGTACTGTCTTGTATCTTCAGTAGGTTATCTAGGTAGTAATATTTTTTTTTATGTTGGGTGATGATAAGAAGTAAGCACTTGGTTTTCCCTTGTATCTCTTGTCGTTTTTGAATTCTGGAATGGAAAGCGTTTCCATATACTTTTGAATCCATTTGAATTTGATTGTGTTGGGTTGGGAATATGTTAAAAGGCCAGTTCATGGACAACATTGGCCATATTGGTCAAATGTTTAGAACAAAATTGGCCAAAAATATCAAACTGTTGGGTAAAATTAGCGAAATTTGTGAAACATGTTAGACAACATTAGCCAAATAATTGGTTAAACCAAGCATCACTTCACATCTTCTAATCTTCACTGTTGGTGTAAAATATAAAGAAACCTTAAAGAAAGAAGCATTTGAATGCAAGGTGAAAATAGTATCACATATGAATACCTTACACAGTTCAAGGCATGTTGTGCAACAAAAAAAACAAGTGATTTCCAAAGCAAAAGGTGCCAAGGTCTAAACAAAAGTACTACTTTTAACGCAACCTTGCAGTAGTAAATATTCTAGTAAAATAGGAAGACAACCAAATTATTGAATTACATCACTTGACATGTGACTTCTTCTTCCCATCCTTCTTTGCTGATTATTTGAGGAAGATCCCTTAACAGGCTTAGTGCTGAAATTTCCATCAAAACGGCTACTTTTGACAGTGTTACGATGAGAACCTTGATAGAAGTCATAAAGAGGTTTTGAACTTTTCACTCGTGGAACATCAGGGATCAAATTCTCCACTGTTGACATTAGTTGCTCAAATGTGGCCAATGTATCCGCAACAAAATTCTTATCACTGACACTTTTTGGGAGTTTAGGGGTTGAAGAAGGTGCAGCCACATGTCCAAAAGCTTCCACAAAACTCGATTTACTGTGAATGTTGTCTGTGGTTGGATCTTCATCAATATTCTCATCAACCAGTTTGAAGGGAGGTTGTGAACTTGACGTCCGCTGAATTCGTCCTTTTTCATATTTGCGAACCTTTCTTTCAGGTTGAGATAAACTAGCAGCCTGTCAATATTATGAGCCTTCACATAATAAGTATTCAAACTATCTTATTCTAATTCTACTGAAATAAAGTAACATAACTAGTATATATATTCACCAGAAAAAAAAATCAAAATTCTTAACAAACCTTGAATTTTCTCTTTTTGTTTTCAGTGGAGGATTTGTCTCAACATCAGTCTGTCCAGGTAGTTACCTGTTTCCCTAGGAATTATAAATCCCGGGACTTTTTCTCGATTAGCCTTGTTAGATCTCTTTGGTGGATCACGTCCCACATGTATCATCGGTCTACGCTGCTTATCAGAATACTGCAACACCACAACATCATGTTCTAACATCTGTTTTTTCACCTGTCACATGTTTAGAGAAATAGTCATTTGCAGGCTTCTCAATAAACCAATACTTAAGCCAAATGAAACTTAATTCATCATACCTCTGGTTTAAGCTGCTCAATGTTGTCACGCAATATATCAGCTACGTGCTTATTAAATCCAACCTGCAAACATCACCATGTTAGTAGGATTGTATACAATTTTAAGTAATTAAATGATTGTATCAACTATACAGTACCTCAGTTTCATTTTCTAAGCCAATGTCCTCACACACCTCAACATGAACATCTGCAAGGCTATCTAGACAACCCTCCCTTGAACTCACTTGAGCATCCAAATGGACCTCAGTATAATGGAATCCATCAGCAACATGGACTTCTGTTGACAAGTTCTCCCTTGCACCATTTTCAGAAGCAGCACCCGGATCACCTTTAGGCTTCGCTTTGCATGACCTGACATTGTGGCCCTTTGTGTCGCATCTGCTGCAATGATTTCTTTGACCTTTTCTAGGTAGTCTTTGTTCTTTATTTTCCTGAATGACTGTTATTTCAGCAGTAGATCTTCTCCTTTTTGTAGTAGGCCTTCCTTTCGCCTTTCGTTTAACAAGAGCTAATATAGGAGGCTCTATTACCTTGTCCCATTCCCAATCTATTTCATCTCTCAAAGGATAGATAAAAGGTTCATAACACCTTTTATATACTTCAACAGAATAGCAGTTATCAATAAGAACAACTGGGTCTTGTTTTATAGACCATATAGCAGAAATTCCATGTATATATGGAATACCTGTGAGCTGCCACTTTCTACAGCTAAATTTTCTTGCAGCAAGGTCAACTGCATACTAGCCATCATCTGGATGGTCAACCTCCACATGAGTAGTTGATGAGGGGGCTGCGGCGCATTCAGTTGCTAACTTTTGGTATCCTAAAAGCCTCTTGAAAATTCTTGGACAAACAACCTTGTTGTTCCATTTCTCATTTGCCATTGTTCTATTCTCATACATCCTTCTAGTGGTGTACTTCTTCATTCCCTCGATAAGTCCAATGATAGGTTCTGCTCTTGCCTCGAGAATTTTGCCATTCAAAGACTCACAGTTATTGTTGAGTAGAATATCACAGTTACATTTGAATGGAAAAAATGCCCTGCACCACTGATTCCCAGGCATGTTGCTTAACCAGGGTATATGCATCCTCAGATATGGTCCTCATCTGCTCCATTTCTTTCTTCCACTGCCCCTCAGTGGTTGCCTTTGCCGCTGCTCAGAGTGCTTTCCTAAGTGCATGTCCCCCATGCCCATGGTCTACAAAATTTGCATGCAAATGCTTCACACAAAATCGATGGTCGGCTCGAGGAAATTCAAGTTCTGCTGCTTTTATCACTCATTAAGGTCCACTGATCAGTGTCTTGTTTCTCGATTCTAAGATCACGTCTTAAGAGATCCATAAACCATCTCCAGGATGATGTGTCCTCGACCTCAACCACTGCCCATGCTATTGGATAAATTCCGTTGTTGGGATCAACACCAACAGCAGTGAGCAAAACTCCTTTCTGAGGACCCTTCAAGAATGTGCCATCCAATCCAATAAACTTCCTGCAACCAGCTAAAAAGCCATCTCTGACTACTGCAAAACAAATGTACAGTCTCTGAAATCTTTGTTGACCTGTTGAGGGGTGTGTCCAGCCATCCAAGGGTTTAAGAACCACGGAACTTCCAGGGTTACATCGAAGGAGCTTATGACAGTAACATCTTAGCTTATTGAATTGGTCTTCTACACTACCAAACACCAGTTGGAATACCTTCTTTCTGGTTTTATATGATTGATCCTTGGACATGTCGATGCTGTATCGTTCCTTCACACTCTTTTTGAATTCCCGAGGTGTTATATTGGGCTTTTCCTTAATGAGCTCTGCTGCCCTTAGTGCTATCCAACTACTAGTCATACACGGGTTGTTCTTCACCCAAGTGCAGCTGTGTTTCGGAGCAAACCTGGTATCTCTAATAGTCCCATCCGAACATCTCCCTACATAAATCTTCCAACTGCATTTTCGATCAGGACACTTGGCACTAACCCTTTCTTTTTTAATTTTCTTAAACCTCCACTGAAAACCCCTTATAATGTTCCATATCCTGATAACATGTGTTGCCTGTTCCAAGCTATTGAAAGCAAGACCACACTTCAAGGGTGGATCCCACATGTCTTTCACTGGATCAAATTGTTGTAGAGCAGGCTCGGCTTCTTCATCAGACTCATGCAATGGTTCAAAATCATCATCAGAATCTGGTATGGCTCTATTCACATCTCTTAGTCGACCACCAACAACTTCATCTTCACTTTCCTCTATATCCGCAGCCCCTGTGTGTGTGAACTCTATATCTCCAGTTTGAAGACATATCCTTGAACCATGCTGCTGATTTTTTTTACTACTTGCAACAAGTGTTTTTTTGATTGTAGGCTTTACCACACTTGCAGGACCTTCACTATAACCATTTTCACCACCCCAGGTTGCTTCACTTTCATCAACATTCTCTTCATAATCTTGATCATCATATTCTGAATCGTATTTAGAATCCTTATCACTCCAATCTTTGTTATCTTCATCACTCTCATCATCATCACCATCATTATCTGGCTCTTTATTCTC